ATTAAAATATAAAACTTGAGATAAAGTTATTTTTTAATTTATTTGGTGCATTTTAAACGTATTTATTTATTTAGTGGTTCATTTATATGTTTCTGTTTTTATTTCTAATTATGTCAGTGTTGGTCCTCCGTACTGCAGAACATGAAGAGGTGGTTCAGAGACTGGATCAGGTGTGTTGGAGCAGGAAACATGTGAAACATGTAGGGCTGTGGCCCCCCAGGACCAGGACTGCCCACCCCTGGTCTAACCTATAAGTTAAAAAGTGAGACAGTTAGAAAAGTGTTTAATAAATAAGTAAAAAGTAAAAAACTAACCTGTTCATGAGGTAAACACTGACTCCTGTCCCACAGCCCAGTTTCTTCATGAAAGGTGATGCAGGGATGGTGATGGGGGTCCCGGCACCGCGTCCACAGCTCACCCGGACTCTTTGGGGGGTTTTAAACCCACCCTCCTCCTTGGTGAAAGTGCTCATTCTGTTCAAGAAGGGTTGACAGAGTCAAACTGTTAACAAAAGGGTTTTATTTTCAAACATTTCCTTTTAATACTCTAAGTCTTAAAACAGCACATTTCAAAAATAATAAGCTCTTACTCTATGAGATGCACGCCGAATTAAAGTGCAAATATTTAATGTTCTGAGAAGGATGGAAAAAAGTTACATTTATTATTATTACACACAATAAGGAAAAAGTTAACAATTTGTAACTAAAGTCTCACTTAGCACGAACGAGCTGGTGTTAATGAGAAATGTAAAAATCCTCTCATTTCCGTCGACATGTTTGTTTACAGTATTATTAGTTAGTTAAAGAATAAAAGTAAAATACTAATTAATCCAGTTAACTTTTGAGTTTTGTTGTTTTCAAAGTTTTCTAACCGTTAACAGCAGACTGCAGCTAAACTGAGTGGGTAAAGTTAGCGACAACATGCTAGCTCTTACAGCATTTCCTTCCTCACWTTTCTCAAGAAACTTTATGATAAACTGAGACAAAAAAAAAAACGTTTTTCAAATTAAAAACTCACCTCAGGTCCTTTTCTTACGGCTTCTTCTAACAAAACTGTTTAAAAAAGCGCGTCAGCGCCAAACATTCAAACTGACATCCGGTTTATCTACGGGCACCGAAGAAGGACAAACAGAGCGCTGTAGTTTTTAAACATCCGCGATCATAACACTAAAATTAAAAACCTGATTAAATATTTCACACACAGTAGTTACTACACACAGAAACAGTAAAGAAAAACGATGGTTGTGTAAACTCTGTAGAAAAGGACATAATTATAAACAGTTTCAGTGGTGACTCATTGTAAACACCGCCCCCTCAGGGCCAACATGTGTAACTGCAACAAAATATNATTACCTGTCCAGTCATATATTACCTGTCCAGTCATATATTACCTGTCCAGTCATATAACATCTTATTTCTCCATGAAAGAAATGAGGCTCTTCCTTATTAGGTGCATATTTATTACAAAGTATAACTTCTACACCTTCTATCTTCTGCATCTTTAACTTGTTTTATTAACTGTTTTTACTTTGAGTTTTTATGAGTTTAATGAAAATCAGGAGTGTTCACCAACATGTAGCAAACGGAAGTTGTTCAATTTAAAAATAGTTTACAAAACAAACAAACAAACAAAAATATTAAAGAGCATGACTAAAACAATACATTTTCATGAGTTGTTCAAACTTAGTTTTATTTTTTAAGGAGTTTGTTGGATAAAAGATCAAGTATTTTGCTCACTTTTTCTCATCATGTTGACGTCTGAAACAAGGAAGTAAATATCCAGCAAAGGCAAGAAAGAAGCAAATTACAGAAACACTTCGTTTATGAAATTAAATTTATTATTTTACATGGTTTTGCATCTTTCAACCTGCATACCATTGCATGAATTTATTTATTTTTATTACAAGAAATAAGGCACAGTTTTTATGCATAAAGACATTTCCAAGCTGTTGGTAATAAAGATAAAAAAGTTTATCTTATAAATTCTCTTCATTTGTTTTGAGAGCATCCTGCTGTAGGAGAGGATGCTGTGGAGTTCTGTAAACTCTGAGGAGACCAGCATGAACCAGTCCTCAGAGAGCGTCCACTCAGATGATCCCTGCAGGTAATGATGGAGCTGAAGCTTCAGTCCTGAAGCAGAAAGTCTCTGCAGAACAGGTCCGTGCACAGACCAACACTCCTGATAAAATATCACTTCTGCTAAAAGAAAAGCTTCACAGAGGAGGCGGAGCCAGCGTCAGGAGCGTTCAGGTGCTGCAGGTGACGCCAGCGTCCTCAATGTGTCCACAGTTTGTTTTGCCCCAACCAGCGAACTTACACTGATGGATGGTGTCTTCAGTCCCTGAGCAAGCAACGTCGTCCATCCAGATCCGACCGGAGCCTGTGGACCGACAGTTTACAACTTTATAAACCTTTTTCTTAAATCTCACTACATTATTAAAAATTAAAGAGACAAATGTTATGATTTTTAATATCTTGGCCCATAAATATAAAACTTTTAAATTCCATCCATCATGCAGAGAAGTGACTCACCTAAAAATAAATACTGAAATATTTGTTTTCCAGCATTTTTAAATTAAACCCAGCTCTGATGTAATCCTCTGTTTTTATACCAGGGGTGTCCCTTGGAAAGAAAAATGAGTTTTCCTGATTTATTTTTCTTGTTGGACTGAGTTTGTGGATGATGTAAGGCTGATCGGTAAATGACATTAAATGGAGAGAAAATAAAAAATATTCTCTCATCTCAGGATGTTTTTTTCATGACTTTTGGCTCACAGAGTCCAAGCAATAAAAGCTTTAAATTAATCCCTGCTGCATCGGGTCAAGTAGTGCCACTCAACTGTAAAACACACCAGAGTTCATTAAAATATACAACTGTCCTTCAAATACAGATACAAAGTAAATTTGATGTCATTTTAAGAGATGGTTTTATGAGCTCATGAGAATTTGACCTAACTTGGTGAAGTTAAGAGGAGAGATCGTTTCTACAGTTCTGGCTTCTTTCCATTGTTTCAGACTCATTTAACAAACAACAGAACGACATCTTCATATAAAAAATAAGATTGTTCCATATTTTACAAACASAGCTCCTCATTAGACTGCAGGTTTACTTGTGGTGCCTAAAGCAGGGTTCCTACAGTTTAAGACAAGTTAAATTTAAGACCTTTTAAGACTTTTTAAAGCCAAGTGAAATTAAATTTAAGAACAATTTCATAATAAACACAAATGACAAAAAATGTGTCAGAAACTCAAGTATTTTTGGTTGAAGTATTCAAATATTGCTAATGGATCAATTGTTTTATCCATATCTAAATATATCAGAAACATTCTTAGCAGTCAGTTTTAAACTTCATTTAATTTCTAGAAAATCCTCTAACGACCTAAAAATTGGAGTTTTAGGACCCACAGTGGGGTCTTAACCTCAATTTGCTGTAGATGAAACCCTAAAGTGCCTGTGACATCATTTTTTTGTAAGAAAAGTGAAACATTTTTGTAAAGACAACATTATTAACATATTACAAAACAAATGTCACATTGTTCAGATGGACGGTTGTTGAGATATTTACATGTGAAACCACAGGAAGTGATGTCAAAGGAGAATGTCTGCATGTGAACGTTTAAAAAATATTTTTAACAATTATTATAATAGTTGAAATGAATTCCAGTCATCCTACTTACAATGTGTTAACATTTTTAAGACTTCTGACAGATTGATTTAAGACATTTTAAGGCTAATTAATGCTTTATTTTTGGATTGATGAATTCAATGACTTTAAGACTTTTTAAAGATCTGCAGGAACCTGTAAAGTTTCTGTTCCTGTGGAACCACAGGCTCATACTCTGTTTACTTTACTTTTCTTTACTTTACTTTACTTTACTTTACTGAGGTTTACAACTTTCCTCTCTAATAAATACTATAGTTAGGGTCTAATAAATACTATAGTTAGGGTCTAATAAATACTGTAGTTAGGGTCTAATAAATACTATAGTTAGGGTCTNGACAACATACACCATTCAGTCACTATTTGTGTTAATAATGTTGTTTTTGTCGTTCTATAAATATTCACAATGTTTATTTTTACTTTGGTTTAATAAAGCTTTTATTACATAACCTTTAAAAGGTTAATATCAGTTTACTGTGTTTATCTACAGCTCCTTTCAGGACTAATTCAGATCCAGACAGGAAGTCTGCATTATTAATTACCACCAAGTCAAATGTGTGAACCTGAATGCTAAATTTATTTTGTRATATCTCATGCATTAAACAAGATAAAAATATAAATAAAGTATGTGTTAAATCTGTAGTACATATTTGTACCAGAAGATGGCAGGTTTGCTTTATCCTGTTGAATAAATCAGGTGCAGGACAGGTGTTGAGGTAGAATTTGTATAATTAAGTTTATAACAAAGAACAAATTGATGCCACTCTGAATAAAAGTCATTGTGTTGAAATTAGTTATTTTCTGTCAGGATGTTTAGATAAAACCTGACTGTGTTTCAGCTTCATCTGTGTTTGAAGGCTGCTTTGTTTGGGATCAGAGGGGCTTCATGATGCAGGTTCAACTGTGACCTGATGTTTCACAACACCAAGGTTCTGTTTGAAACATCTGATGTCAGAAAACATGAGCTCCTGAGCCTGTTTCTGTTTCATCTGCAGAGAGAGAGASAGAGAGAGAGATAACCCTTTCATTATGAGGAGGAGGAATGTGGTCTGAAGACAAACGGACATGGAACAGAGGACTGGGACTTTCTGTGTTTTCTCCTGGCAGCAGCAGAATGAGCTCATCATGTTWCTGAGCTCCACATGTTCTGCTGCACTTTGTGAAAGTAGGCCACGTTAGTTTSTCATGAGACAACAGGAATCCCTCCTAAAAGCAGAAAACAACACATATTATTGATCAACACTTCAGGATCATCAGAGTTTGTGTCATAAATCTACTGGTGATTGTGGTTTTCACATCTGGAAGTGAACAACAGCTGCAGCTGCATGACAAACACACTGCAGCTCTGCTCCTTTCTCTGTTTGAACTGAACACTGTTGATAAAAACCCTCCAGTTTGATCGTTCNTAGTTAGGGTCTAATAAATACTGTAGTTAGGGCTAGTTTGGGTTTCCTCAGCTATTCCTAATTTCAGCAGCTCTAAGTTTAAAGTGCCAGAAGACAAACTGGTCACATTTTTCACTTGACTTTCTGTGTGTTTAATTATTTTGATCTTTAACATCCTTTTCTTTGTCTTTCTGCCCATAAAAACTACACCTGAACCATAGAAACTAAATTTAAACCACAGGAACTACAACGAACCATAGAAACCACACCTTACATCTGAAACATAAAAACTACACCTGAACCATAGAAACTAAATTTAAACCACAGGAACTACATGAACCATAGAAACCACACCTTACATCTGAAACATAAAAACTACACCTGAACCACAGAAACTAAATTTAAACCATAGGAACTACACCTGAACCATAGAAACCACACTTGAACCCTAGTAACTACACCTGAACCATGAATCAGTTGTTGTGTGTTTGTCTGAGTCACTTGCCCATCCTCTTGGACCAAAGTCAGTGAAGGCACCTCCTGAGCTTAGTTGTGGTTCTGCTGCAGGTTTATTCCTGTTAAAAGTGAGTTTTTTCTTCCCACTGTCACCGAACAGATGCTCAGGATGGGACATTGTGACATAATAAAGTCTTAATGTAATCTAACTGACATTTTATAATGCATGTGGATGGTTTGTACAGAACCCTGAGATGATTTGGGTCTCTATAAGTAAAGTGAACTAACCTTGTCCAAAGCGAGCGGTCTTATAGACCTGCTCTGCTCCTCTGTACCCCAGCATCCTGCAGATCACGTCTCCATCCTTCTTGTCCCAGACGTCGTCGCACACCGTCCCCCACAGCTGTTCGTGGAACACTTCTATGCGCCCTTCGTGGGGTCCAGACCCGTTCACCAACCGGACCAGCTCCTCCTCGACTGCACAACACAAACATCAACATGTTGTTCTAATAATCTGTAAATGCAGAGCTCCATCACTGGAGTCAGGCTTTCCCTGAACATTCAGTGAAACTGCAGACAGTCTTTGTTCTTCTCTCCAACAAGATCAAGTTCAAAACTTTTCCATTTACTGACAAGACTGAAGTCATAAAGAGGAGATTATTTAATTATTGCTGTTTATGGAGTTTAATCCAGTTCTGTTATTTGAAGCATTAAAAAACAAATGGAAATGAAACTGCAGACATAGTCTTTGATTGAAATGAACCAATGAATAAATGACTTTAGAGACTTTAAAATTGTCTCCTCCTCTCATAAAATTTAGGGTTTTAAGCTCTCCGCTCATATTCTGGCAGTAATCTTACAGATCTGACATTGCCCTTGTTGTTTGAAATTCATAAGTTTTGCTCTTTAGAAGTTCTCCAGAAGGCATCTGTTAGCACTTATCCAGTCACCTRACATGGAGATGTTAACCCAACCAGCTGGATGTGCAAACTGAGGAAAGGAGAGAAGAAGGACGTGAAGCTGCTCTTTGGTGAAACCTTGAAAATAACATTTTAAACAATCAAAATGTGACAATCCAAGATGTTTAACCCAAAGTCCGTCTGCCCATCCATCCACTGCTTGTTCTGTGCTGTAAATGACTCTCAGCTTCAACCAAAGTCAAGTTTTAGCCAAATATTCAGGATCAGCTGGCTTTGGCAGCCATCTTGAACTGGAAGGTCAGTTATAGAGGTAATTGGATGGGCTAGTTTCCTGAAAGTTTCATTAAAATCTGTTCATGTAGACCTGGATTTTGCTGGTGACCTGGAGAAGAACGAACCTGGTAACATAACCCACACAGACAACAGATACAAGAGCAGGAAAGGCAGCTGAAAGAACAACAGAGGAAGACATGAAGACCTTCAACCATATCTGGGATACCATCCAGGTTCTGGTCCAGAACAGAGTGGAGGATCTGTGTTACTGCCACAGTGGGCAAGAAGTAAGTAAATGATTCATGGGATGTTGTGTTGATTGTGCACAAACACACGCAGGTTTGTATTGCTATCCTTATTAGGACCGTTCATTAACTCCCATTCAGTTCCAGTTGTTTCTATAGCCTAACCCTGACACCTTACCCTAAACCTATCCTGAACTTAATTCAGACCTTGGTCCTAAACCTTACCAACCCAAACAAGGAGTTCCACTATATTAGGACCAGTCTGTGGTCACCATAAGGACTATTGGTCTTGACAAGACATGTGTATATCTAACACATTCTCATGTCGGACTCGTAACATATAGACACTTGGGAGGGAACCGCCCAAGCATCTGAATGTTGACGCAGGGGGTACCCCCTGTGCGTCCGTCCTTGCTGCCCGCGGCTTTTCTGGGTTGCGTCACTTGGAGGGCTCCTTGGTTCGGGGGTCAGAGGTTAACATGAGGGATCAGGATTAATGGTTAACTTTAGGGTCTGTGTTCAGGGGTACACTGTATAAGGAACACACTCGTCCTCCTCCGCCTCATTTCGTACAGAAAAGATGCGCGGTGGGTACCCCCAGCGTCAACATTTTGACGCTTGGTCGGTCCCTGCCCAAAGCGTCAATACCTTGATGCGAGGGGCATGACAATTGGCTCGAAACAGTCCTAAAAAGGCAAATATACTGTAACATGAGTCTGACTTCTCAGGAGTCACAAAAGCAGAGATTCAAGACTACTGCTTCTACTGTTATGGATTTTCATCCTGTTTTTTTGAAACTATGTAGCYGCTGTACTCATGTACTCAGTTGATTTGATTCAACACCGTCCAATTCACAGGACTCTGAAGGAGACGTAAACATTGATACCCAACCATAGCTGAGTGTTTGTAGACATGTCCTCATCAGGACTGAGCTGAAGTAAATTCAGACACACAGGAAGTAAGTCTCATCAGACCATCACAAATTCTGACTGTTTCATTTATCTCCCATTATTCTGTCAAATATGCTACATTCACAGGCCCATCATGATGTAATATCAGTCTTAACCTATGCAGAATGCAGTTGTGCCAATTTATTTCAGTTCCAGAGCAATAATATAATAATACTTATATATAACCCACTGGTTACAGGACATCTCCTCCTAAAGGCTGAGTTATAGTCATGCAGTGGAGGTTTTTGGCACTTAAATTGTTGTACTTTTCTCCAATAGGACACGTGGAAATACACTTTATAACTTGTGAAAATGATGTAAGTAGGAGAGCAAAAGCTTGACAAAGAAACTATTTGAATGGTGCATGGCATGCAGCCTTTGCAGAGTTACAAAAATTCAGAGGTGCATGACTACGTGCCGGGACACCGCGCTGGGCCAACGCGTCACTATTGGCACGTATACCCCCTCACGCCCTGCGTCAACTACAAACCTAACTTAACCACTCTGCCACCCCTGAGGGCAACGCAAGCAAATGCTACATAAAAAAGTTAAACATTAGTTAAAATTAGCAAAAAGCCTAGCTAAAACCTAGAATAGCAAAAGGTGAGCTAAAAGCTAAAAATACCAAAACGGTCACTGAAAACACTAACATTTTGATCATTAAAAGGAAAAAAAACCTAGTTAAATAAGAAATAATTAGCTAAAAGCCAAAGTAGCAAAAGACTGTAGCTAAAAGCAGCAAAATCCTAGTTGAAATTTTAAAAAGTGTCAAAAGAATAGCTAAATGGTAAATGTAGCAAAGGCTAAATAAGAATTAAATAATGTCAAATGTTAGAAGTTGCAAATTGCTAAGAGGTTAGCTAAAACTACCATAATGGTCACCAAAAAACAAAAACAACAAAAAAATTAATGTAGTGGGGAATAAAAACCTAAGTGGCAAAAGATTAGTTAAAGACGAAAACATTAGCTAAACGCTAAAGCAGCAAAAGGCTAGCTAAAATCTAAAATTGGCAAAAGAATAACTAAATGATGATTATAGCAAAAATGCTAGATAAAAGCAAAAGGTTAACTAAAAGTTTCAGAAATGGGGCTTAAAAATCTAAAGTAGCTACACACACCACAAAATTAGCAAAAAGTCATGCTAAAAGATACAATAGCAAAAGGTTAGTAAAAAGTAAAAGTACAAAATGTTTGCTAAAAACAAAATATAGTTTGTTAAAGAACTGGGTTGAAAATATCAAATTTCTACCTAAATGTCTAATGTAGCCGAATGCTAGCTAAAATGAACAAAAAGCCCAACAAAACATAACTAAAAGCTAAAAGTACCTAAATGGTGCCTAGGAAACAAAATTTAGCTAAAAAATAAAAAAGTGACAAAAGATTAGTTAACATAAAAAAAACTGCAAATAGCAAGCTAAAAACAGCTAAATCCTAGCTACAAATGCTAAATGTAGCTAAATCAACTAGCAAAACTCTTTGCTAGTAAAATACGAACTAAAAGTCAAACGTAACAGATACCCAAAAGCTAAACATATCAAAAGGACAACTTGAAGCTAAAAGTATCAAAAGGCTGGTTGAGATGTAAAATAAAAATAAAGCTCAGACGCTGCAGCAGATTTTAAAAAAACTGTTTTTGACCTCTGACACCAAACTGAACCCAAACAGGAAACAGTCGTTTGATTTAGTAAAAAGCTTTCAGATTTTCTGTGAAAGAATAAAAACACGAGGTTTGACAGGATGTTTCTGCTCAGACAGAACCAGCGGTTCTGATGATGGTCCAGGTGGTGGCCCGGGGAGCAGCAGCAGACAGAACCAGAACAAATCCAGAGCACAGAGTGGCTGCAGATTATTCATGTTTATCTGGAGAGCAGGGACAGACTGGACAGAACCGGACTGAATGGGTTCAGGACAACAGGAGCAGGCTCCATCTGGTCCTGAAACATTTCTCTGAAACACAGACTCTTTCCTTTAACAGGCCTTTTATTGCCTCTTTTTTTAGTTTTTACATTTTGTCTAATTGGTTTACTGTTAATTTAACTTTTCTGAAGGAACACTGACAGTTCTGACAAGAACACACTCTGTAAAGTTATCACTTCCTGTGTGTTTATATGTGAAAGCAACAGTATAATAATGTCCYTAATGTCTGCATGTTTCACCACAACTGACTGAGCTCAACTGGTTCTAAGATGGCCGCTGTTCTGTAATAGTTTTAAGAAACAAAAATGGTTTTATTTCAATCAATCCAATAAATATTGTGTTAAAATTTGATATGGTAGTAGCATAAAGTAATCCCTAAAACATGCTCCAAGAGCTAATATATAGCTCACTCGGTTTTTGTTTTAAACCTCAGGTGTTTGTTGATGCATTTTTCTCAAAGAGATGCTAGTTTGAAGCTGTTAAAAGTTCAACATGTTGAACATTTCTGTGCCCAACTCTTTATAAACTGAACTACTTTGACCTAGCAACAATACAACAAAACAGATTATTAAAAAACCTTCTTAAAAATCTAATTTAGTCGTTCTGTGAACTGGGTTGGATTTGATGAGTCACACATTAAAAGCATTAATCCAGATAAATTTCTAAGAATAATATCCCAACAGTCCAGGTTCGTCCCTGAGCGACATCAGAAATGATTTGTGTTTGGAGATCTGCAGCTGCAGAGAAGCTCCTGTCAGARGTTAAAAAGCACAGCTCTGCAGCTCGGCCTCCATGCTAACACGTCTCAGTTAATAAGTCAGCTGATGAGGACAACAACACTCTGAAGTTTGAAATGGACTCAGAACAAACAGGGAGTTAGTGTTTTGTTACACGCACACACAGGAAAACCCCTTTCAGGGAAAACACTGGACTCATGTTTGTTATTCTTTAATTCTGAAAATGTAAACTCACTGATGCAGGTCATTTAACAGTAATCTGACCAGTCTCTGCAGAGTTTACAGAAAACATTTATAATATCCAACATCATGAAATGATTATAGTGATTTTAACCACTAAACCTCAACATGAGGCAACTTACTGAAAAGTCCAGAGAGTTTCAGGTTTACAGCTGGTAAAATAAGTATTGAACACGTCACCATTTTTCTCAGTAAATATATTACTAGAGG